GTTTGTAATCTAAAATGACTGAAAATTGCAAATTTCGCAAGGCTATATTTTCCGCATTTTACAACATTTCGCAACGAAACTTTGGAATATTACTAATTTTGTGATGCTCTTTCAAGCTGTGATGAAATTTTTGTCTAGACTTGTTTAGATCAAAATTTAGTCTATTACGCAAATGGTCAATTGGCATATACTGTTGTGATGATCCTGCCCTAGTTGGCAAATGATCCTGCACTAGTTGGCAAAGCTAAATAAAAATAAATTATTTTACTCCATCTAACGCCAAACAATTTTACTCGTCATGGGGAGAATGCTGCCACTCAACGGATTAATACTTTTTCATGCATTAAAATTGTCTAACAAAGAGTTTGTTATTATTATTAGGTGGCGCTTACATTCCCCCAGCGAAGCTTAAGATGCTTCGAGAACAAATTGAGGACAAGAGCAGGTAAAATATTTATTCACGTTTTATAGTGACAAATAGTGTTTTCATTGTGTGGTATAACCAAAATAGCGTTTTTGTTGCATGGTGATTGCGTTGCAAAGGGTGTTTTCATTACATTGTTACTGAGTGTCAAGATTCCATTTTTCTGCTACACTCGAAATTACCATCTACAAAAACTCTTCTCATGTTTCTGTATTACTCAATATTCAGCTCGGAATATCAAAGACTCAGTTGGGAGGCGTTGAAGAAAAGTATCAATGGTCTGATCAACAAGGTAGGATTTGTTGTTCACTTCATCTACATTTTGGCACCATAAGCGTTTCAGGTAATTTTTTATGATTTTTTTCTCAAGGTGAATACGTCTAATCTTGGAAATATCATCCGGGAACTTTTCCAGGAAAACGTTGTTCGTGGCAGGTATAAGATGTTGAAGTTACATTGCTGTCAGTTATCAGGGCTTGAAATCTTCCGCACTATCCAGTGGGGTATAGGAACTTGAAATCGGGTATCCACCATGAAAATTTGTATGCCACATTTGGCTAGTAACGTTCAAACTTTGAAACAACTGGTAAAATGAACCTTTCCCCTTATAACTAAATGGACCTTTCCCCTTATAACTAAAATTTTGATCTAGACAATAATTTCATCACAGCTTGAAAGAGCATCACAAAATTGGTAATATTCTAAAGTTTCATTGCGAAATGTTGTAAAATGCGGATAATATAGCCTTGCGAAATTTACCGTTTTTCAGTCATTTTGTATTACGCATGGGAAATTGACAGCCCAATCAGGTGTTGGGCCATCAATTTCCCGTTTGTAATACAAAATGACTGAAAATTGCAAATTTTGCAGTGCTATATTATCCACATTTTACAACATTTCGCAACGAAACTTCGGAACATTACTAATTTTGTGATGCTCTTTCAAGCTGTGATGAAATTTTTGTCTAGACTTGTCCAGATCAAAATTTTAGTTATAAGGGGAAAGGTCCATTGTTATGAATTTGACGATATAATGAATCTAAGATATGTTTATAAAGGATTCATATACTGTACTGTACAACAGAAAAATACACTATCTGTCGAGGACAGAAACTCGTTTAGTATCCCAATGGATACTGAGCTTGTGATGTCCAATATCCAAACTTAAAATCTTGTATCCCTAGGATATCGGGATACTGCAAATTACAA